AGGAGTGAGGGAAGGACTTGTGGTGTTGAGTAGGAGTGAAAGAAGGACTTGAAGGGTTGGTTAGGAGTTAAGGAAGGACATGCAGGGTTGTGTAGGGATGAGGGAAGGACTTGCAGGGTTGTGCAGGAGTGAGGGAATGACTTGCAGGGTTGCGCAGTTTCTTCGTCCCGTTGGGACATATGATACGCCTCCTTACCATTGGTATGCCCCAGGGTAAGCCTTACAATTTTTGGCATTTCGTCCAAAATATAGATTTTGTTCATAATCTCAGTATAGGTACTCCTGAACATGCTGCTTAAGGATCTGTTTACCAAAATTTGATATCTGGATCATTGCTTGTTCAAATGGCTTTAAGAAAATTTTAATTACTTTTGCAATAATTACTCGCCACTTTTGGGTTTTCAAGGTCATTTCTTGGTGCTTGTGTATTCTGGATGTACTTAAGTAGTTAGGCACTTTGTTTTAGTTCCGAGAGAAAAAGTATTTTTGGCCAAAAATCCTGGAAAGGGTAAGCCTTAAAATTTTTGTCATTTTCTCCAAAAAATAGATTTTGCTCATTATCTCAGTATAGGTACTCCTGAACATGCTGCTTAAGGAATCCTACCATACTCTGAGGCAGAATCCTACCGTCTCCTGGAGCAGAATCCTACCTTTTTTTGAGGCGGAATCCTATCATCTCCTGGGGAAGAATCCTACAGTATTTCAGGTGGAATCCTACCCTATTCTGTAGCGGAATCCTACCTTATTCAGGGGCGGAATCCTACCCTATTCTGGGACGGAATCCTACCGTCTATCGGGAGCGGAATCCTACGGTATTCTGAGATGGAATCCTACCGTCTTCTGAAGTAGAATACTACCCTATTCTGGGACGGAATCCTACCATCTATCAGGAGCAGAATCCTCCGGTATTCTGAGATGGAATCCTACCGTCTCCTGGAGTGGAATACTACCGTATTCTGAGGCAAAATCCTAACGTCTTCTGGGGCAGAATCTTACCGTATTTTAGGCGGAATCCTACCGTATTCTGGGGCAGAATCCTACTGTAGTCTGAGGCGGAATCCTACTATATTCTGAGGCGTAATCCTACCGTATTCTAAGGCGGAATCCTACTGTATTCTGATGCGGAATCATACTGTATTGAGGCGAAATCCTACTGTATTCTGAGGCGGAATCCTACCGTATTCTGAGGCGGATCCTACTGTATTCTGGGACGGAATCCTACCCTATTCTGGGACGGAATCCTAACGTCTTCTTGGGCGGAATCCTACCGTATTCTGAGGCGGAATCCTACCGTCTCATGGGGCAGAATCCTACCGTAATTTATGCGGAATCCTACCATATTCTGAGGCCGAATCCTACCGTCTCCTGGAGCAGAATCCTACCTTTTTTTGAGGCGGAATCCTACCGTATTCTGGGGCGGAATCCTACCGTCTTCTAGAGCAGAATCCTACTGGGTGACTGTACTTAAATAGTTAGGCACATTAAATTTTACTTCCGAGAAAAAGTATTTTTGGCCAAAAATCCTGTAAGGGGTAAGCCTTACAATTTTTGGCATTTCGTCCAAAAAATAGATTTTGTTCAAAATCTAAGTATAGGTACTCCTGGAAAAAAAATACCTACCACTGCAGTGCTTTTGTGAAGTTTAGTAGGGTCATTACCTATACCGGACCACTGTGGATTTGATCTCATCCTCCTCTGTACATATATAACATGTTCTGTACTTCTTCTTAGTCTGTACTCACCCCTGAAGATGTGAATTACACAAAAGCGCTTGGGAACTTCGTGTCTTCTTTTTTCCTTGTGGTTATCAGCATATACCTGGATCACGCACACCTACAGTGATTTACTTATATATATATATATATATATATATATATATATATATATATATATATATATATATATATATATATATATATATACACACACATATATACACATATATACATACATACACAGTGGTCCCTCGGTTAACGAGCACAATGCGTTCCAAAAGGTTGGTCGTTAACCGAAACCACTGTTTCAATGGGTTTTTGAGTAATTGGTTCCAGCTCACCGAAAATTGCCTAAAATCAACAAAAAAGGTACACTTACTTTGAGGTGTGTATGTAGAAGGCTCCTGGATGATGATGATGATGATAATGAGAATGGGGGTGGAGGAGAAGGGAGAAGAGAAGGCATTGGGGTGGAAGTCACCCCATGGCGCCATTTCACCCAAAAAAATTTAGTTCTCTTGGTGTAATTCAAGATTATCTTTAAATCAACACTGCACTGCATTATATATTGGCAATATGTAAAATAAATTTCAAAATGACCAATAATTTGCTTGGAAACAGAAAAAAAAAGCGTTTAGTTGAAGAGAGTCTCAAGCAAGATGTTACCTCCACTGAAAAGACACAGACAGACGCCTGTTTGGTGTGTTGACAGGCTGTTTGGCACGCATAAAACTAGTTTCCTGTACTTCAATTATGTTCAATAATTGTTAAAATGACGAAAAAATTTAATATTAAACTTTTAAAATTATTGAATGGTATAAACTTCGTGATATTTACTAAAACTGTAAGGAATTTAAGCCCTAGAACCGATTACTGTATTGGCGGACCAATACTACAGCTGGTGGGCCGCCAAATGCAAGCGAAAACATGTGGAGGTCCGCTCGTAAGAAATTGGTTAATCAAGGGATTGCTCGTTAACCGAAGTTAAGAATCTTATGGAAGGTAAATCGTTAACCGAGGGATCACTGTACGAGGTATATATGTGCTGATAACCACAAGGAAAGGAGAAAACACAAAGTTCCCAAGCGCTTTCGTGTAATTCACATCTTCAGGGGTGAGTACAGACTAAAGAGAAGTACAAAACAAGGTATAGTTCTCCTTAGTCTGTACTCACCCCTGAAGATGTGAATTACACGAAAGCGCTTGGGAACTTTGTGTTTTCTCCTTTCCTTGTGGTTATCAGCATATACCTGGATCACGCGCACCTACAGTGATTTACTTGCATATATATATATACAGTATATATATATATATATATATATATATATATATATATATATATATATATATATATATATATATATATATATATATATATATATATATATATATATATATATATATATATATACATATACCCTGTACAGTATAACACACACACAGTTAACACTTATTTTACTAGTTCTTAATCTATTTTGTTATTGCTGCATCAGGAAGAGTTTGACAAACGGGATAAAGATTGTCTTAGTAATATCTATAGAACTTGGTAGATGTGTGAAGGTGATGTTAAATTATTGTACTGTAGTGCTAGCAAACTACAGTACTGTACATGAGGGTCATACTGTGTCAGTGACATCAACAGCCTTTCATAACTTTCTTGGGTCACCCTTGGTCGAGATGATTTACAGTTTGTCATTTTACACCAATGCTGGTCATATATAGGCTGATCCAGTGGTAACATGTGTGAAAGTGATGATAATGGTATCTACAGCTGTGTCAAAGTTTATATATAAAGGTGGTAATAATAACAAAACTTATGATATAGTTATGATGCTGAAAATGGCCTGTGAAAGAAACTACACAAAATACACTTATTGTCCTTACAGGTATTTGGCTCTATGTTGGCTAAAGTACATGTTGATTGTATTGAAACTGTAATGCATGACTTAACATCACCCAAAGATATTTCTTCTTCTTTCTGGTTTTATATGAAAGTACAATCAATTGTATGCAGAATACAGTTAGTTTTATATGAAATATAATAAATGGTTGTTGAAAGATCTAAAAAAAATAAATAAAAAAAAAAAAAAATAGTATCGCTCTTTTATGCATGAAATTCAACTAGCCTGTGCTTACAGGAACGGTGCCCTGAGCATGAGGGGTCGCGTAAGGGGTTGTGGCAGTATGGAAACGCTCAGCAACACAGTCTGTATTGAAAGAGCACGAGAGGAATAACATAGTACTGTATTAAAATACATATTTAATGCAGCATATTAAAATTATTTAATACTTTTCCAATAAATGAAACATTAAAGACATACTTAATGGTTTTTCTACAAAGGTCACAGCATTCCGGCTCTCACGAGCTCACATAAGGGTGAATTTTTCACGCATAAACTGAGGGGCTGGTAGTGGAGTCCTTGCATATAAGCAAATTCAGTGTACTGTATATTGAGACCCAAGTGCACTTTCATTCATCATACTACAGTAGTACAGTAGACCCTCATTACATCGCGAGAATAGCACCACTGAATTGTAAATCATGATACAGTATCTTGATTATGTACAGTATTATTCAACAAGAAAATTAATATATAGAGGAAGGGATTGGGAGCATCAAAAATATTCCTCCAACCTTAACTATAGGATGCCACTTTAAATATTTAAATGGCCTATGCCAGACAATTTTATTTGGCATAGAGAGATCCCAGACCCACTGCCAGACCACTTCACCACATGTCTTACATTCAGCCCACCTGGACAAAGTTTTCCAATACTTCTTGGTGCTTGGAGTGATAAAGGAAACACTTGAGGGACACTCAGACATATTTAAGTGTTTATGGGAACTGGTGTGTGTGTGTCATAACATGGGAGCTCAGCAGATAAGAATGAGCAAGAATGGCCTGCCTTGGGTGAAAGGCATGTGCTGCTACACAGTGAGATATGAAAGAAACTTTCATTTGTCATCAGCTGATAAATGCATTGGTCCACTTAAAAATAACTTAGTTTTTCTGGGTATATACCAGGCAATATAGAAAACTGGGAGTAATTTAGGGTGGTGCAAAGTACAGTACCTAGGTAATGAGGGTCTCCAATAGTGTACAGTACAGTACAAGGAAAAAAACATGAATCGCTACAACACTGACACACTGATAAAAACATGATCAAGGGTGAAGTATTAGATGTTGTTTACTATGAGGAGGTTGTGAGATGTTGGGGTTTACAATAAGGATGTATCTTGAAGTATGATGTGATTTGTATGAAAAAGTTAAGTAAAATATGAGGGAGTACATAATTTTTAATATGATAAAATACAGTAATGTAAAATATGAGGAAGTGTGATGATGCTACTAATGTGTGGCTGTCAATACAACAGTCCAGAAGGCCATCTACACTGTCTCCCCATCATAGTACAGGTATTACACAACAACTAAGTCACCACAACATAATAATAATGAAGTTAGTGTAATATTATCCATAAACAATTTCTATAAAATAATCAAATATTTGTGGCTGTGGACAGGTGCTTAAAAGAAAAAGTACTTAGACTTGCAGTATTAATGAACTCGTAAAGACAAAAGTCAGTTGTAAGGAAAAACCTCTCTGATCAAAGTTCACAAACCAATATGTATGTTATAAAAATTGTGAACCATGCAAACACTTTACAGTTGATTTGTAATCAAATATGAAATTTACTGCATTTCAAGTATGCCTTCTTAAGTATACTGTATGTTATATTTACACACACTGCATAAAATTACTTATTGAGGAACATTAATTCCATCAACACTTACAGTAAATATATTAAATTTGTAACAGGTTTTTCCCATCTTAAGGTAACATCCGTACTAAAATAAAAAGCTCTGCATACAGGAGTCAGATACAGTGACTCGTGACCATGGCCAACCAGATATGAATATTAGGTAGGTACAGTACTGTACTGTACTGTATCAGATAATAACTGCAGACTCTACAGTGTGGTAACTTGAGGGTCAGTGGAGTGCCATGACAGGGACCAAAGTGATTTCTCTCATCTGACATTTCCATGGTGACAAGTCAATAGCTGTCCTGGATTTGTCCTAACATGTGGGTGACCTTCCCTTCCCTCAGGACCTCACACTGACCCCTACAGTAGTCTCAGGTTGACCATTACTGTTCTTAATAAGTACTCTACAGTATTTATAAAAGTAATATTTTCCTCAAATTTAAAAATAACCAAGTCAAGGAAACTAAAACTTCGTGCAGGAAAACCAGAATGACTGACATTTTTCAAATAGGTTGAGAACTACTTATTGTTTATAACAGTCATACACACAGACCCAAAAATTGTGGTACTGTACAGTATTGTCAGTACATGGCAGCCTACTGTACAGTATTGTTGGTACATGGCAGCCTACTGTACAGTTTTGTTGTGTACATGGCAACCTACTGTACAGTTTTGTTGTGTACATGGCAGCCTACTGTACAGTTTTGTTGTGTACATGGCAACCTACTGTACAGTTTTGTTGTGTACATGGCAGTCTACTGTACAGTATTGTTGTGTACATGGCAACCTACTGAACAGTATTGTTGTGTACATGGCAACCTACTGTACAGTATTGTGTACATGGCAACCTACTGTACAGTATTGTGTACATGCGGCCTACTGTACAGTTTTGTTGTGTACATGGCAGTCTACTGTACAGTATTGTTGTGTACATGGCAACCTACTGAACAGTATTGTTGTGTACATGGCAACCTACTGTACAGTATTGTGTACATGGCAACCTACTGTACAGTATTGTGTACATGGCAACCTACTGTACAGTATTGTGTACATGCGGCCTACTGCTTCCGTCGTTTCTTTGACTGCGGACCACTAAATTTGTGACTCATTTTCCTTTTGTTTTGAAATTTAATATTTTGTATTGATCCATCTGGTGGGTCTTGAACAACAAAAATAGTTAAATCACAATTCATACACTTGTTTGTTATGACTGAAGTGAAACAGTGCACAGTTATTGCAGATGGGTCAAATCGACAGTAACAATTTGGACAGTTATCTGGACAGTGCTGACTGGGATAATTCACAACTAAATAGTTGCCATCAACCGGTGCTTGTACAACTATATTTTTCAAGTCACAAACATTTAAAGGTTTGGTTTGTTTCTTTTGAGGTGGTGGAGTAACATCAAATTTCCCTGACTTCTTGAGGCCAGCTCCAAGATACTTCAAAAAGATTTTACCGGACTGCCTTAGTTTCTTTTTCTTTGCAATGGGAGTTTTCTTTAGGTCAGACCTGGGTGGTGTGGGTGTCTGGGTACTGCTAGGTTCAACTGCTGCTGCTGATGAACTTGACACTTTTGTACTCTTAGACCGTTTCTCACGAAGTGATGAACTTGTACTTACTGCCGTGTGTTGAACCACACTGGATGTTGAAGGCTGTTTTATTGGAACAGTAGCTGGTATATCTGTTGAAGGCAGTTTTATTGGAACAGCAGCTGATATACATGTTGAAGGCTGTTTTACTGAAACAGCAGCTGGTTTTCCTGCTGAAGGCTGTTTTATTGGAACAGCAGCTGATTTACCAAGATCTGCTGGTGGCTGTGAGCTTCGTGTTACTCGTGATGCCGATACAATTGTTGGTGTGGATATATTTTGGGATTGGTATTTCTTACCACCTGGTTTTCTTTCATTGACATATTTATTACATTTAGCAATAGCCGTCTTCCAGGGAGCTAATGTCTTTAATGAAACTAACTTTGCCACATAACAACCAATTTCGTCAACAATCTCTGGAGCAGTCGGTGGTCCATTTAAACCTGCACAAAATCTTTTGATCACAAGTTCCTTTCTTATATAATAAGCCAAAAATTCAATGGGATCAAGTGTCCAAATTTTAAAACTATGTTTCTCTGAAGGACTTTTCTTGCAGGCATCTTTCTTTGGATCTTTTAAGTCTTGAAGCATGTCACAACCCACGAGTCTTCTGTTACAATGTATACACTGAATGTGGCCAAAGAAAAGATGAGATTTAAAATGTGCACTCTTAACATTGGACTCGCACACATTACACGTTGCTTCTGTTGGTTTTTCACAGATATACACAGTGTCTTCCTCTAAAAAATTATCAGTATCACTGTCATTTGAGAGGTAGCCTTCTTCTTGAACATCACTCTCCTCACTGATGATGATACCTTGATCTTCATCATTGTTATTGGTTGGGAGGTCTTGAGTATCACCTTGGTTAATTGTATTAACAGCGTCCTCAATGTGCAGGTCTCGAGCATCAACGCTGATTCCCACGGAGACCTGCATGTCGTCGTCACTCTCGCGAGCGGAATCTTCGGGAAATACGAAAGGAAGAACGGATTTGGTCTCTGGGATGTTGGATGCGTCAGAACTGATGGGTTCATAATATCTTTTAGGTGAAACCTTAATAGAGATGCCTTTGACCTCCACAAAATGAAAGTCACCTACAGTAGTACCTGGAGACTTAGGCAAGGTGTTAACACTTGTGTCATCTGTATGTTCTGGAAGAGGGTCATGTACAGGGTTACTGGCAGGTGTCTGAACGACACACTCGGGCTCAGATATCAGGGCTGGCTGTTGCTCATCACTGTTCTTCCCATTTATTGAAGCTGCTGACTCACTGCCAGATAAATCACCTAATGTGTCAGTCAATGTAGTATTTTGTTCACTATTTGACAAGCTGTTTGCACTATGACCAATAGATAATGATGTTGGCCTTGGTTGCTCTACCAATGACTTAACTGGAGAGCTCAAATTCATGGGTAATTTAACTGTTGCTTGGCCATCTGACAGACTGGAGTCATTGCAAGGTAAAGTCCTTTTCTGGTTGCCTGAAGGGCTGGACTCATCCAGTATTGCAATTCTTGGCCAAGAATGTGACAAATTTGAATCATCACACACCAAGATTCCAGATTCCCCATCTGGCGGTGTGGGCACAAGAGGAGAATGTGAAGTCCTGGGTTGTGAGCCTGACAACTTGTCAGATAACCCAGCCCTTGGTGGTTTATCAGATACACTGTAACCATCTGGTAATCCAATTCCTGTTCCAGAGAGTAAATGTTCAATACCCTCTTGTGCTGAGGTTTCTGTAACACTGTCTGATGATGAATCAGGTTCAATATTATCTGATGCTGAAACTTTGTTATTATTGTCTGATAAGTCAGATTCATTAGTGTTTTGTAATGAAGCTTTAGGAACCTTGTCTGATGAATTACATTTAGAACTCCTTAGAGGTGAATATTTGGGTAAGTGATCAGGAAAATTTGACTCCAAACTCTCTTGTGCTGAAGTTTGGGTAAGATTACCTGGCAAATTAGATTTGAAACTCTCTTGTGCTAAAATTTTGGGTAAATGTTCAGATGAATTTGATTTAGAACCTTCCTGCTTGGATATTTTGGGTTGATGATTGAGAGAGTTAGATTCAAAATTTTCTTTTACTGCAGATTTGGGTAAATATTCTGAGGAGTCTGAATCACAAACTTCTCGCACACAAATTTTGGGTAGACTGTGTGAAGAGTTGGAATAATCATCCTCTTGTACAGAGTTTCTGCATTCATTTTCACAAGAGTTGGAATTCTCTTGTAATACAGACTTTGGTCCAGAGTCACACTGATTAGAGTCACCGGATACTGCAGTTCCTATTTGATCATCTGAAGGACTGGTACTGGATTCATTTTCAACTGCAACTTCCGGCTGACCCGATAAGTCAGAAGCGTCCCTTAATGCAGATGCCGTGTCATCCTCAGGTGGACCTTCTGCAAAGCAGGAATAATCGGATATGTGAGTTTCGGGTTGATCACTTGACAAGGAGGAATTAATAAAATAATCTGGCCTGGAAACACTTTTTGACAGGCTATTAGCAAAACTTGAATTACCTGGCAATACAGGTTCCAACTGATCACTAGATGGACTTGAGCGACCAACTGACATGGTTACTTCTTGTCGGTGTGGTTGGTTGGCATCGGTGTGCAGTACAGGTCTTCTATGATCATTTGATGGATTGGAATCATCACTGAAAGCAGATCTTGAATGACCCTTAGATGGCCCAACAAGATAGGCAGAGGTAGAACATAAAGTTGATTCTAACTGATCGACCGAAGGATTAGAATCATCACGAACGACGGAAGCCAGCGGTTCAATGGATGGGGTGGAATCATCGCACGCAACAGACTCTGGAAGATCAACAGATGGGTTGGAATCAGCTCGAACAGCACAGTCAAGTGGCTGATCATCAGATGGGTAGGAATAATCACGGGCGGCACAGTCCAGCCGTTCATCAGAGAGATTGGAATCGTCGGGTACAGCAGAGTCTTGGCGATTGTCTGATGAAGTGGAATCATCACAGGCAGTAGTGTCTAGTGGATCACGGGCTGGGTTAGAGTCACCGCATAAATCGGCATATTTCTGTTGGATAAAAGGGCGGGATTCATCACACAAGGTTGTCTCAACTGTCGGGCTGTAGTCATTAGCAGCTGCAGTTCCAGGCTGTCTGTGTGTTTGGGTCGGCATGCCGCCACTCAACTTTGTAATATCGGTGAAGTCATAACGTGTGAAGTCATGAGGGCTGCTCAGAGGATGAGATATCTTTGGACTTAAAGGTTTAGTTACTAAGCCACTTGAGGATGTGGGAAGAGGTATCATGTTCCTAACTGTAAGCTCAAGTGGAACCATACTGGTATTATTAGTAATGTCTACACCTTCAATTGGGGCCGAACTGCAGTGAAGACCAACGGGAATGTTATAGGTGGTTTCTCCCGGTCTCTCTTGAAGGTGCACCACTTTGATTGGCTCTGTTTCTTTAAGAGTGTTCTGAGGAAATGTTGACACTTCAGCTTCTGCTTCAGCTTCAGATGCCTGCATTACTTCTTCATTCTGGCAGACATCAAGAGATGAATGCATTAGGTCTTGTGTTTTTTTATTCCCTTCTTGCATGTCTTTCCACAATGACATTATTTCTGCATCTTTTTGTTGTTGAGGGTCGGGAGACATGGACCGTTGTTGACCATGAACGTCTACTCGATGGCTCGCATGATCGTGTTGTTTATCATCATAACTGAGCTGACTCTCTTGTTGTTTTTGTAGGTGTGGAAATATTTCGGGAAATGGTTCACTCGGTCGTGGATGCATCAACCTGGGTTGCTGGTGTTGTCGTCCAAATCCTGGATGTTGGTGGTACTGACCCAGACCAAGTTGTTGTGGTAGTGGCAATAATCCCGACTGCTGATACTGCTGACCTAACCCAAGGTGATGCTGCTGCTGTCCAAACTGTGGCTGCTGATATTGCGACTGAATTCTTGGTTGCTGATATTGTTGCCCCAATCTGGGCTGGTCATACGGTTGCCCCAATCTTGGTTCCTGGTACTGTTGTGCTGACTGTTGGTACTGTTGTTGTTGCCATGATGACACAGTGGACATGGGTGGTATTGCTTGATGGGGATGACGAGTTCCTTCCATTCTTGGACTGGACTTCACTTCAGTCCCCTGCCAATAAAAGAAATAATCATTGATGAATACATATACTATACTGTACTGTATTGTATTGGCATTATAAAATAGGTGTACAGTACAGTACTGCACTCTTACACAGTATAGTTTGCAGAGTAAATCCTTGATTTTCAATAAGTTCCAAACTATGATACTTGTACTGTATATTGTACTGTACCATCATGAACCATTTTAGACCAAAATTTCTAATTCTAAGCTGCCATACACTATGCCAAAGATAATGATGGGAGTTTTGGCAATTCTTTTTACTACTGTACAGTACGGTAATGTACAGTTATCTAACTTTTTATGACAAAATTCTCAGTAGCACAAAGGTGGCTGAAGAAATAATATATTATCAGCAGACTTATAACTGCTTTTATTAGAATTTCAAGTGAAGTAGAATCACATTACAGATACTGTACTGTATGTATTGGTTATTTCAGAACACTGAATTATTTAATTGCAAGTGCATCACTGACTACACTATGCATATAATTAAAATTAGTGGAGTGAGTTCATTGATACTAAGAAAATAAACACAAACTACTTGATCCTTAAACCCTTTCTTAGAACTCAACCTTCTTACCCAACAAGTCCCTCTCTTCTTCTTCTTTTGTTTTTTTAATATATACAGGGATTAGCCCACCCGGGCACAGGTCACTGACCCACATCAGGGCCTGGGGAGTGAAAATGTAATAATTCATCATAAATAAAATTTAATAAAAAGTAAAATAAAATAATAACAATAATAAAAATAACTGTAATAATAATAATAATAATAATAATAATAATAATAATAATAATAATAATAATAATAAAGAACGATAAAGAAATACAAAAATGAAAAAAAAAATCAAGCGAGAAATGTTTTTTTTTTCCGGGGATTAGCCCACCCGGACATGTAATGGCCCGTCTCATCAACAGAAGTATTATATAAATGGGTTATTTACATCCGATTTATATTCAGATTCATCCCCTGTAACTTTCCACTGGCTATGAGGTGACATGTTCAATGCACGTGATAAGGTGTGCCCACGGGAAGCAGCGTCATACTATGCTGAGTAAAGGCATAAGTAGCCGGCTCTCTGGCCACCTAAAGCGGGCAGTAGTTTGATATCCTTGACTAGAGGAAGACGTTATTTGAGAGCCGCAGTGTATGGCTCCGTCTTCCCTCGAGCGAGAGTGACGCGTCTATTCCGTTCTCCTTCGATGGGTCACTACTCAAAGTCTCACTCACAACTTTATATCGAACGGACGTTGATTCACATCTATTTACATAGACGCCATCCCTCTCTCTTCACGCTCATAGATAGCGGAAGATACGGTGATCTACACTCAGGAATTATATACATAATACTTTTTAATAAAACAAGAAACTTCAATTGGGTTTCGTTACTAAAGCCCAATATATTATGTGTGAACCAACCTGGTTAACTGGGAAGTAACCAACCGGTTCAGGCACAGGTCACTGACCCACATCAGGGCCTAGGGGGCGAAAATGTAATAATAATAATAATAATAATAATAATAATAATAATAATAATAATAATAATAATAATAATAATAATAATAATAATAACAATAATAATAATAACAATAATAATAATAATAATAATAATAATAATAATAATAATAATAATAACAACAACAACACTAACAAAAATAATAACAATGATAATAATAATAACAATGATAATAATAATAATAATAATAATAATAATAATAATAATAATAATAATAACAATAACAAAAATAACAAAAATAACAAAAATAATAATAATAATAATAATAATAATAATAATAATAATAATAAAGAACCATAAAGAAATACAGTGTAGTCTTGATGTCCACTGGCTAACCGCACATAAGGCGTGGATGTTCACTGGTCTGTCCCTCTCCTGGTTTGACGACTGTTTCGTTCCCGACGTTAAGAAATTCTACGAGCACCATAATGTTCCATTTAACATTTTGTTGCTCCTTGACAACGCACCAGGACACTCGCCCCTACTGTTGGATCGCCACCCCAGTGTAAAAGTGGTCTTCCTTCCTCCCAACACTACGTCGTTAATCCAGCCCACGGACCAGGAGTTGATATGCAACGTGAAGGTTGCGTTCTCCGCAAAGAAGTTTAAGCTCCTGAACGACTACACCAACACCAAGGATGAGTTGCGGAACCTTCTGAGTGGCACAGATAGCGAGGACGAGGATCCAGAAGAAGAGTTGGCGGAGCATGAAGTGCGAGTTAAACAGTTTTGGAAAATGATTTAATGTCAAGAAAGCTGTTGATTTCTTGGTGGAGGCATGGGGGCAGCTGTCTGTGGCAACGATTCGTCACGCGTGGCGGCATGTGTTGCAAGGTATCCCAGGTGGGAGGCAGAGGCAACCTGTGGTTGGTGAGGCTCAGTCTGTTGCAGTGGCAGTGGACCTTGCAAGAGAAACTGCACAGAGTGTTACAGCTGCAGGCTTCTCCGAGAACACCAAAGACGACATCATGGAGGTAATCAGGGATCCTGAGGTGACTGCTGACGAGATGTTGGAAGACGATGACGTCAGTGAGGAGGCAGGTGGTGCGACAACACGAGAACAGAAGTTAACACATGGTGATGTAAAGGATGCCATCGAGTTTGCCGAGAAACTCAAGCTCACCCTTTCCAAAGACCCTGTCAATCACTGATATGAAGTCTCCAATAACCACCTCGACCAAACTATGGAGCCGTATATCAAGATGTATCACGACCACATCAAAACTAGCCCTCAGCGTAACATCACCGACTGTACAGTACTAGTGAGAGAGTTACTGTTATGGCTAAACAAGGTGGAGGGACAGCAGTTCTAGCACGACCATCCCAGCAGCCACCCACCCTTACCTACTAATTTTCATTCATTTCTTGAAAATTATAAGTACATAAGGAATGCACACACACAATATATTTTACAAGGTATAGCTATATAAAGATTGTTAGTCACTTACTGTGCATCAATTAGAAATATTGTTGAAGCAGGACATGTACAGCACTGTGAATTTAAGAAATAGAACAGACATTTGTGTTGGTAATATGAAAAACAGTTGTTACTAAAGCATAGTAAGAGGTTTTACAGTAGTAATAATGTAACTCCTCCTTATTGGTTATTTCCTCTAATGTAAATTTCTAAGCTTTGTTAAACATATACTGTACAGTACTGTAGGTAGTCTTGCTTCATACCCTACTTGCAATTTTACTTGGCCATACTAGGTGAAGTAAGGCTGTATGTAATGAGGATTGTGATTGGTGGATTTATTTTTGCCCGTATCACTTTCAGGATAAATATTAACCAATTTAAAAGTGGCATATTTGTAATAAAAAATTATTCATCGTTATTTAAGACCATGAAAAATTTCCAAATGTTTGTATATCTCCTTAAATACTGAACAGTATTGTCAGGTAAAATTGCGAGTTACGGGAGCCAGAGTGGGGTCAGTGCATCTTCAGTTGAGTGTACACTGTGTGTTTTTTCTTAATTTCTAAAACAAAAACAAATTAACAAGAAATAAACAATAAATAGAAAAAATTGAAAACAACGAAGCGAAAAATAAAATTCATGAACAAGAAACTCACTCACGTTAAAGTTCCTCAAAGTGAAGCGGACAACTACGGTGTTATTAATGGTGTGCAGATGTGATCACAGGATGACCATTTTATCTATACTGTACTGTATTAGGCTAAAACTGAACTTGGCCTCACTCAATAGTTATGCCATTCACTGCTGCTGCTGTTGGGTCCACAAACAGCTCCACATGAGAGACTTTCATCTATGGGCTGAGTAGATAACAAGAAACAAAATTACCATTAAATTATTCCTGAAAATATGCAATACAATACAGTACAGAGGGTCACAGGGTTATGAATGGGTTCGGAACACATGCTATGTGCATACTGTACTTACAAAATAATGTTTGAAATCCCACAATATCATAGCCGAAGTCCTTATATACATCTAAATATCACTGAATTTAAGACAAAGGAAATATAATGACAAAATACAGTAAATGAAAGTAAAAAATAAGTCATCAGGTAAATAAAATACTGTAAATTTTAACTTTAACCCAGTTTGTATTAGTGGGCATTCATAAGTCAGGGACTTATAAAAAGAAAACCCAGGAGTAAATTGCTGAGTAAAAAAGTGTTACTGATTTTGATTACAAGACGATGGCACTATCAGATGAGCTCACCTCAGCCACCTGTGGTGTAATGGTCAGTATGCTTATCCCGTAGGTGAGTGGACCCGGGTTTGGTCGCCAGGCAGGTTAAACTGTGGGCAAGTTTATTTTTGCCTGTTTACCTAGCAGTAATTGGGGACCTGGATGTTAAATGATATGTGGATTGTGCAGTTGGTGAGTTGTTCCGGTCTTCTTGGATTATTCCTTGACATTGGGTCATGCAGCTCATTAACTCGGTCTCTTTTTTGTTGTGTTGGTAACAGCTTCTACACCTAAGACAAATTCATGCCTAGGTGACTCTTGGGCTAACCATCCCCAAACATGAGGAGCAACCAACACCCGTGTCTCTCATCACTAGCTCATGGGCTTGAGTCCTGCTTGGCCCAAACACACAAGGGAAGGGTGTTATCTAGTGTGACACTGTATAGCGTCTCCAAGTTTCCTCCAGGTACAGTACTCCGGTTTTCTACTCATGGTTCCCACACAATTCAGAATTTTATTTTCTTATGACCAGACCAAACACTTATAAGGCTTCTATATAAACTTGCTTGTGCAACCAAAAATCTCATGTCTAACTGAAATTCTGCAGTTAACAGTAATGGCAACAAAGAGTGGTAATAAATGGGAGTACATTCTGAATTGAAAAAGGTTCTCAGTGGAGTACTCCAAGGCTCTATCCTTGGACCCACCATGTTTGTGACCTACATAATCAACATACAGTAGATGAAAATATGTCGAGCCGCATTGTCAAAAGTGCAGACGACAAGAAGATATTTGGAAAGGTAGCAAGTCAGGACGATGTTGCAACAATGTAGGAAGGCTTGAATGAGCTATTAAAATTGTCTCGAGACTGGCAAATGCTCTTTAACATTACAAAATGCAAGACCTTACACCTAGGATACACGAACCCTAAGCACAACTATTTCATTAGTAACACCTTCCTGGAAAGTATTGAGAGGAAAAATATCTTGTGATAGATCATTCACTGAAGGCAGCATAACAAGTGGGAGCAGCAGTGAGGAAAGCAAATCAAGATTTGGGAACTATAAAGTGTACCTTTGAATAAAAAGATTGGAAATCCTCCTTCAACTGTACAAATCTTAAGTACTGTATGTCCCAGTCTGGATTACTGTATACTGTACTGTACAGGCATGGAAACCCTACCTCCAGAAAAATCAAACATCCCGAGAAAGGTAACAGTCCAACTCAGCTCATTACCAACTCGGACCATCTCGGATAACCAACTCGAACCACTTAGGTTAAAGAACTCGGAATAAAAAGTAAAAGTTTACACATTTTTGCATGCGTGATAAAAGTACAATGATAAAAAGCAGCATAGATTATAAGGGGGAGGAATTTATTTGTTATTATTTATCTTTTCATTCTATCTTATTAATAAATTAATGTACGTATGTGGTA